TTACGTAATTGATGAGGCGATGACAGGTCATGACATAATGATTGTTGTTGTACAGAGACTTTATCTGTAAAACATAATTTAAGAAAATGATGTGAGCACCCCCCCACTTATTTTTATATATATATAATGTTTAAGTACTCAGTAATTTTTAAATTGTTGAAGAATATTCTCCATAATCTAATTTTAGGGATATTGACTTTAAATTTACGAGATTAAACTAATATTGAATTTTAATTTAAAAAAAAATTATAATAAATTATTATAATTAAAATTAAATAAAAGAAAACAATTCTTGTAAAAATTCGTGATGCATTGTAATTTTTTTCCTTAAGACAATAGTGTCCTTAATAAATCTTATTTCTAAAAGTAATTAAAAGCTTTTCTAATTAAATAATGTCTTAGTTTTAAAAAAATATGATTTAAATTCTCCAAGGATTTCTGCTTTTACTTAATAAAACAAATTTTGGGATGAACATTTAATTTCTCGAAATTTCACGAAATTAAGTAAGTGGAAGGTGGGGTAACATACGTAAAATATATATTTAGTTTTAAAAAAAAAAAAAATTCAAAAATAATTTCATTCATTTGTGAAAGTCTTGAAAGTTTGATTAAAATCCGACAATTATTTGATTTTTGCAAAAATTTCCATATCAATGTGTTTTTCATCTAAAAGAAAAGGCCGCTAAAAAACTAATAAATGAATATGACGTCGACCGCTAACGCCAAAAAAAAACAAAAAAAAAAAAACAAAAAAAAGAAAGATTTTTAACCAAAGATTCGAACGTGCTAGAAAGAATTAAAAATAATAGAAAATTACTTTGGTTTTTGCTCTTAATAATAACTTAAACATTTTGACGATAAAACTTTGTTTTTACTAATTTTGGGGCCTTTTTTTTCAGCAAAAAAATGGAGGTGCTTATTTTTTATGTAATTTTACTAATGAATTTGCTAAAAGCAAATGTTAACTATTTTCAATTGAACCCAGTTATTCTAGCAGTCGTGAACGTGAAAAGAAAAATCAGACACAGTCATTCCAAATTTTATAAACGAAACGAATTTTTTTCTCTTTTACTGGTGTTCTTTTGTGTTCATTTCTTACCAGTAACCCTTTTGATAATAAATCTTACTTTTCAATCTGACAACATCCATTCACTGAGTTTAACAGTTTGCATTATTTTTCGACTCAGCGAAAAGGAGTTCGAATGTCTGGATTTTATTCTAAGGTATTTGCATCAGAAGGCATGGTAACAATTTAAATTTTTTTTTTTCTTGAATGAGAAAATTAAAAAGAAAAAAAGAAACCCCAACTTTTTTATTCCTTACTGAATAATGAAAACTCGCTTTTGTTTTCAGTTTTAGCACAGCTAGAAATGAATAATAACCTAAAGCAAAATATAAAAATATAATAAGTAAGATCTTAAACAGAAAAAACTATCAAAATAAGTTTTTCGTGTACAAAACAAACACGTTTAAAATAATTAAAATACTAATTAAAAAATATTTTAAACATGTCTTTTCTAAGTTTTAAAGATTGAATTCCTTATGTAATTTTTCATATTGAAACAAGATATTAATATTTTAAAACATAGGTCAAGGTTATTTATACTGGTGTTAACTTTCCGACTGTATTAAAACATTTGTCTGGACGGATTCTTGCATCTCTAGTGTATTTTACTTCCTCCTCTTTATTTTCTCCCACTCTCTATTTCGTTTTTTGTCTCTTTTTCTCTCTATTTTTTCTCCCTTTTTTCTCTTTCTTCCCTTTTTTTCTCTTATTTTGTCGTCTTTCCTTTCCTCTCCCTTCCTGTCTCTTTAAAGTTTAAAAATCTTTAAGCTTCCTTTTTATTTTATCTTCAAACTCTTTGGTATTGATAAACCACGAAAGATTAATTTTATATATATATATATATATAGAGAGAGAGAGAGAGAGAGAGGGGGAGAGAGTGAGATAGAGAGGGGGAGAGAGAAAGACACAGACAAAAGACAGAGACATTTGTGTGATGTTGTTTCTTTTATAAAAAATATTTTTAAAGTGTTTCTATTTGCTACTGACCTAAAAAAGATATCGGTTTTACAAAGCGTTTGAGTAATTACTCGCAACTCACAACTCCAGAATATACGATAAATAGTTCATGTCTTCGCATTTGTTTTCAGTATTTCGTAAAATTAAAATTGGAAAGAACAAAAGCTAAGGTCCGGGATTATTTGGACAAGTTATTATTATTATTTGTTTGGCAAAAAATTCGTTCAGCTTATTAAATAAATTTTTTTACTTAATAAGCGAACGAACTTTTTGGTCAACCCAATATTTCTAATGAGACTGACCAGGGCTTTTTTAGGAGCACCAAAAGACCCACATATTTTCAAGAGATAGAAAATGTCTTTATTCCTTGAATTATTCGGATTTTTACTCTCATATTTTATCACAACCTTTTGGCGAATGTATACTTGAGTCTTCCTCGATAATTATTATTATCGATAAAATTATTTCGATAAATATATTTATTGAAATAATTCGGCGAATGATAAAAATACATAATTTCAGAACATCAGACAATATTTATATAGAGAATCTATAATGATGACAATAACACAGAAAGAGAGACGCTGAAAGGTGCAAGTTCTTTAATAATGGCGGAAATAATTCAATTGTGAGTGACATAAAATGAAATTAGAATACTTGTTTAATACTTGATATTTTTTCTGGTGTCGGAAGGATACCAGCGCATGCGTATATCTCAATAATCTTTTCACTTTTTCGGCATTGAAAGACAATATTTATTTACATGAGCTCATGTTTGAGTCCAGTTAATATTGGTCTTCCCAACAAAAAACATTAGTTCTGTACAATTTTACTCGTCTATGATACGACCTTCAAATTATTTATTTCTGTCTTTATTGTCTTTATATGGTTTGCTTTTGTTCGGTTTGTTTTCTGGTCTTATTTACTTGCATAAACTGTTTATCAACCTCTCTCTCTCTCTCTTACACATGCATAAGCACGTATATATATATATATATATATATATATATATATATATATATATATATATATATATATATATATAACAGTTCTTATGTTCAGAATTGCGTAACTATTTTGATCCAACTTTATTTGCTGACATGAGGAAGTGTGCAAATCAACCATACTGTGGCGACTAGTAAAATCCAGATCAGTCGAAAGTCGGTTGTCATCTCCGCTTAAAATAGTCTCTCGTCCTAAGAAGACGGGGAACGTTTACGTCATCAGATTTTGAAAAAAAAAGCAATTGATTTTGAATATTGCATTTATTTTTTAAAAATCATTGTTTAATTTTGTTGGTTATAAGACACCTCTTAATTTTTCTTTATTGCATTCCTGTCGTGTTCGTTTGCTCTCAATAGTTTCCTGGATGGACCATTCTGATAGAAACAATGTAATCAGGTTCGTTTTTGGCAGAAGTGATGATCAGCGTCAGTATTGAGAATGATGAGGAGCAGCTGATATGCTAAGTCGTTTTATCACTTAAGGTTTGTTTTTAAGACAAGATCCAATTTGTCAGAACAAGATCCAATCAATCGCCTGTTTAGAGGTGCAACAGAAAAACCGGCTAGCGATATTTCCATTCATTTCCTGGCATCGACGCAGTCATTAATATCGATTTTGCCAAATTTGCGAGTCGCAATGATATGTGATAAAACGAATGTGTAGAAATCTTTCGGTGTTTTTTATTTGCTATTAACGTTTAATACATTTTCCATAAAACATTGATTTAAATAATTGTTTGTAAGCGTCACTAAAGCGTCTGTTCATGAGTCCATAAATGAGCGGGTTGAAGCAGCTGTTGGCGTAGCCAAAAAACAAAGAAATAATATCTGCGCTTCTAGGTACTGGACCTCTACAGTAGAGGCTGCAAAGCATTGTGATACAGAAGGGTAACCAAGAGACAAAGAAGACGATTATGACCACTAACAGCGAAAAGGTAATCCGTATTTCTTCCCTCCGACGACGTAAATAGCGCGATGGTACAGCATTAGCCGACTTCCGACCAGTACTATCGAATGCAAATTTTACCTGTGATAATGAGAATGTCTTTTTCATCGGGTTTGAACGTTTTCCACCAGGAATCTTTTTATGTTTCCGATGTCGGCTGTTGTCTGAGATTGTAACTCGCTTGTTACGACATGACGTAACTGGCATCTTGGTTGTGGGAAAAGTCCTGCTTTTTTCTCTGGGTGTCCTATGAGCCCAGCACCCACATGGAACATCTCGACCAAGAATCCGTCCGCACAGAGTACAAGTAATCATTTCTTCATCCATTTTACTACTGGATTCCGTCTCTCTGCTCACACACCTTTCAAGCTGTTTTTCTGCTAGAACCTTTTCCGAGCTCTTTCTCTTCTTCGGCCTCATCTCCACTTTCTTCTCCACTTCCACCTGCAGATCTAGTTTCGAGTATGTCGTCCGTCGATCGGATTGAATTGTTGTTCTGGTTTTCTGTCTCGCTGCTAAGCTCGGATATTTTGCCTTGCAAGGATGGAGTGGAAACACTATCACACTTCGTGGGGACATCTCCCCGATTTCTGTTCGTCTTCCGATGATTTGTTGTTTCCGTACCGCACGCAAAAATCTCCATTTTCGCCTCGGTCGCTGCCCAAATCGTCCTGAGATTGATCCTCAGGTGAACTCGCGCTCAAAAATGTGTCGTATGAATTATTTCGATTTTTCAAAGAACCGTTTGTCATGTTTCGAGATGTGTTCTCCAGATTATCGCCTGATTCAGTTTCAGGGCTCGCAGAAAAATTGAAGTCATTTATATTGATAGTATACGGCCCTAGATTTTTTTTGTTCGGCGACTGGAGCTCAGGTTCAATCGGGTTGTCTTCTTGCATGTCTTTGGAGCTGGGGATTGCTTTTAATCCTCTCTTCTGCAGTTCGATACTCTGTTTCAGTGTTTTTGCATAATCTGTTAATTTACGTGCGCACAGCGGATCAACTATGAGGCGGGTGCCATTCGTATTTAGTGATTTGAGTTTTCAGGAATGTCTGGGATTTGGGAACTGGCTGAAGGACCGTCCGATTGCGGATTGTCGCTTTCCATATCAGCAAATGAGGCGCTCAGTCGCTGATCAAGGCTCATCAAGCGTCGGTTACTCTTTCGCACTGACTTGATGATTCGAACGTAACAAAAGGACATCACAAGGCATGGCACGCAAAAAACAGATTCAATCATGAAGAATGTGTAACTCTGAGACAGTTTCCAGTTACAAAAGCAGAACGATTGATTCTCGAGGAATCTGTATTCGCCCCAACCTCCCAGTGGGGTGCTGCTAGCAATAAGGAGACAATCCAGACAACTAAAAAAGAAAAGAAGAAAAACAGATTTAGATTTTTGAAACAGGCAAAATAAAATCATTTAAAAGAGATTTAATCCTCATCAACATGTTTATATTTCTGAAAAATGTTACAAATATATTTCAAAGATGATGTAATTAAATATGAAAATAGCCTTGGTGGCTGATATAGTTTAATTACACTTGGTGACTAAAAAGAATTGCATTTTTTTTCAACACCACATGTGGTCGGTTTTTGAGCTCAGAAAATGTCAGGATTTTGAATGTTGATTTTCAGGGACTCTTCCTGTAAGAAAGAGTGGTATTTTTTGCGGCAAAGTAGACTTAATAAAATTAACGAAAGAACATTAGACATAAAGGGACACTTGCAGTAAATTTTGGCAATAATTATATTGAAGATTATATTACGTTCATGTCCTCTTCAAAATTGTATGGTTGTTACTATCGGCTGGGAGTTATTGTTCACTGAGTGGTCCTTTTGTTTATTTTGTATGTTTAATCTGAACGGAAAATTCCAGAGAAGGATTTTCGTTAGCAAAGGAAAATTCATACGATTTCATACCGCAATCATATCCTGTAGGAAACAAATTCCTATAACTAAACATTGTTTTATGATGTTAGGTAATGATTTTTATATACCTTTCGGACAACACTATTTTTAGAAATATTTTAATTACCAGTGAATCTATTATTCATTTCTTTGAGATAAGTCGATATATTCGTTGACCATCAAACAGCGCGAAAACGGAAATCTTATACTCTAGTGGTTCATGGACGTTGTATTAAACATTTAGATTATGGCAGCATCAATGATGAAACGCAAATCTGTCACCATTTTGCACTCTTTCCTACTAATGGCATCTTTCTTTTTTCTACTTTTTCAATTACTTTTTTTGGATGAACAATTTTCATTATTATTATTTTATTCTTAATTTTAGTCGGATTGATGATGCTTTTTAAAAGGCCGCCTTGGGGTGTGAAATGTGATTTCAATCCTCGTTAGAAATTACAGCTTTATATCTCATCTCACTCTTGCTCTTTCAGTTAAAGAGTTCATTGATACAGAATGTGTTAACAACAGTAATATAGAGAAAAACTAAGATTTAAAGAAGGTGGGGGCAATAATGTTTCATCTAAAAAATGTTTAATATCAATAAACGATGAAATAATTTTCTTTTAAATGTGGATAGCGTGTTGCTATTTACTAAGTTTAGATTATATTGGCACAAGACCTCAAGTATGGAGCACACAACGAGAATTAAACTCATTACTCAGTTGTAATAGATTATAGCCAGATTAGCTTGTTAACCATTAACCCACGTTAACGCCGATAGAATTCGTCAAAGACTATGGGAATCTTAATGACCAATCAAAAAAACTTCTTTCCATATTTTCACTGATTATCGATTGCAAAAAGTCCAAAAAGAAGCAAAAATATCAATGGTGAAAAGTCAAAAATATTTTGTTGCGAGACATTTTCTGATTTCACTCCCAATGCATTGATATAAATTCAAGTGTTACAAAATGATTAGCTCACTTAATAGTTTTAGATTTTAAAAACAATTCGGTAAATTCTTTGTTTAAACTCTAAAATGCCAAGAGTTTTAATGGTTGAATTTGTCTCAAATTCGTGAAAATTAATGTTAATTTCTTTTTGAGACAAATGTGGTTTTCCTTCCCAATTAAGCGAAAGACGGCACAGGGCACTTTTTTTATTATTGTGATCTTCACATGTATGTGGGAAAGAGAACGAAAATAATCTAGTTTCATTGGCCCTAACCTCTGTTTAGCTACAGAAATTAGAGGATAACTTCAACCTGACCCAAAATGATAAAAATAAATTGAAGGTTTAACTTTGTTTTGTTAAAGTGCATTAGAGATTGGCTAATCACTGATAAGATTATGTATTCTTCACAGCTTTCAAGATTAGCCACTGGTATTATTGAAACTCACTATTAAAATTTTACTTTTTTTAGTCAAAGGAGAAAACGACACCCTTGACGCCATTTTTCATGATTATAGATTTGACAGTAAACCTTCTGTGAATAATACACATCTACGATGGTCACTCTGAAAATAAGATTTTTTTTTATTGTGGGACATCAGAAAATGCATGTGGCTGATTCTTTCAGTCAGTATCCCATGTGTTTGCTTTGATATACAGTACTGTGCAGAAATAAGTGAACCACTCATAATATTAAACAATTGTCTCTTTTTTTCCAGATAATCAACAAATCTTAATTAGAGTATATATTCATTAAGAAAAACCTTTATTGAAAGAATATTATAACTTTCAAAGTGTTTTTACTAAACTGGAATACAAATATTAATTAAAAATTAAGATGTACAAAAGTAAAACAATCCTTACATTTATACTCTGTACTTTTGTTTTACATGGTTGCCATTACAAATAAATTTTTGTGTACGTGTAAAAATCAAAATGACACGTGTTCATTTTTTTGGTAAGCTGTATATACTGCAGTCAACCTCACTGCGTATGCAAAAGGCTAAACTCTAACTGTAGCCTTCCATTTATAAATAATTAGTCGCACTGCAGAGACATGCATTCCAAATCGTTTTAATAGGTTTTTGTAGCCTCCTCCATCATTAAAAGGCTTCATGACAAAAAGAATTTTGAAAGTTTCAAAATTTTTTTTGATCAAGGCTATAATGATTTAAAAAAAAAAACCATGATCAAAACGATTTGGAATGCATGTTAACCTGAAGTGCGACTAATTATTTATAAATGGAAGACCTTTGATATGACATCTCAATCAAGAAGTGGCCATCCGTAAAAAATAACAGCAAGAACAAGTAGACATTCAGTTTGGCAAGCCCAGGCGAATCCTACTGCGACCTCTACAGTTCTCCAAAACACCCTGGCCAATGTCAGAATCAATGTGTATACGTCTACAGTGCAACAAAATCTAAATGATGCCGGTCTTCATGGCTGAATGTCTAGAAAAAAGCCTTACGAAAAAACACAAACTCAGCCCTAGTATGCCAAAGCTCATATTATTAAGTTAGAAACGTCCTGGCAAAAGGTTTTATTGTCAGATGAAACCAAACCAGAACCTTTTGACTGGTGAGCTCCTAATATGGCTTTTGAAGAGAATAATTTTGTGTCAATAATTAAACATGACGGCAGCAACATTATGATTTGGGAGTACTTTGCTGCAGATGGAACAAGGAAAATAGTACTCATTGACGTCACAATGTACCCTAAAAGATACCAAGCAATTTTGAATGAAACTCTCTTGCCCACGGTTTGAAAATTAAGTTTATGTCGGAGCTGGGTCTTCCAACAGGAAAATGATGTGCGGAATCAAAGCAGATCCACAAAAGAATAGGTTCGAAAAAAGAAATTTCAAGTCCTGGAATGGTCTTGTCAAAGTTCTGATCCAAACCCAACTGAAAATCTTTGGTTCAAGTTAAAGAAGGCAGTACATGCAGGAATCAGAGGTAATATCGAGCAATTATGCAAATTTTGCCAAGAAGAATGCTGAAAAATTGACGATCCCTACTACCAGAAACTTCTTAAAAGTTATAGAAGAAGACTGGGTGACGTTGTGACCTCATAAGAAGAAAGAGTCACGAAATATTAATTGTAAGAGTTCACTTACTTTTGCACATTTTAATTTTTAATTAATATTTTTTTTATTCCAGCTTGATAAAAAGTTTTGAAAGTGGTTGTAATTCATTTAATTAATGAATATATAGTTTAAGATTTATTGATTATCTAGGAAAAAGAGACATTTTTTAAAATCTTTGCTTAGGAGTTCACTTATTTTTGCGCAACACTATATAACAGCTGAGTGGTACTGTACCAAAATTGTGACTGACATGAAATTGTGTACTAAGCAGAAGTATGGCATAAATGTCCTCTATATTGAAATAAAACGGAGACTAAATTGTGAATGTGAGCATAGTTGGGTGGTGAATAATGCGTTTCGGCTTTGACGACAGTGATATGGGTGACAAATTGTGTAGTTTCTGCTATCTGCTCTCAGATTTTTAATCCTTTTGGGCGAAAATGCATGGCCACTGGTGGCCACTATCTGGAACAAAATCTGGTTTTGTCGTTGAAATCTTACTCTTTTCAACAGTGTTATTGTACTCAGAGTATCTGTTGCAGTTTTAAATAGGAAACACTTTCGAAAACTCCTTCGTATTTGTTATCTCTTTATCTTTTGTAAGCAGCATAGATATTTTCCAACAATCAACCTTTTAATAAAAACCCTACGAGAAGAAAAGTTATTGAATTGATTTTTTTACAAAATTGTTAACTTTTAGTTCAATTTATAAAATATTTTAATAATCTCGGAGGACATTACACGATTGATTTTACGACGATCGAAGAAATAATTTTCAAGGGAAATATTCATTAGCAAATTCTTAATGAAATAGATTTTCTGTTTCTAGTGATTAAAGAATTAACCAAATATATGGACTTATAAGACGTTTTTATTAGAAATGTTGAAGAAACGCGAAATGTTAAAAATATGTTGAAGTGCTGTGTGTATATGTGAAATATCATATACGTTTCATGGCTCTTTGTTTCTTGTCGGATCGAGAACTTCACCCCCCGCCGTAAAAATCTATACTAGAAAAATCATCTTTCCTAGGCAGGAATATTGAAAATTATTTACCGACACTCAAAAATGATGATAATTACCTACGTATTTTTGGCATTGGCAGGGATTTGATCTCAAAAGGTGTTTCAAAAGTTTTAACAGACGTCGCCTTCATTACTCATCAGAATAAATTGCTATACACCGCCACACGCCTACATAGTAGTACACAGTTGGGAGGAATTGAGTTACTGAACTTTCATTATGTTCCACTTTCATTCATAGTGTTACCAGATTGAGAGAAAAAGAGACAGAGACAGAGAGAGAGGGAAAGAAAGAAAGAGATAGTGTGAATGAGAGAGAGAGAGAGAGAGAGAGAAAGAGTGTGTGTGAGAGAGAGAGAGAGGGGACAAAAAGAACATTCCCCTAAATATATAAGAGATAAATGTGTATTCCAAATAAAAATCGGATAATTAAAATAAAAAAAGAAAAGAAATTGCTAATGTGTAAAATATTTTGTGGTTTCTAAATCTTGCACATGTGTTTTAAATCCGTGGGAAAAATAAAATTCTAGAAGAAAAACAGGAAAGGTCTGTGCACGCCTCCGATAAAAAAGACCCTCCAAATAGTTTTTGTTTCTTTACCCAAACTTTTGTTTATCTTTTCTCAAACAACGAAAAAGAACATTGAATTTTTTGTTTCTTTGTGACCACTTAATCTACTTCGGTTTATTCCGTCCACTGCCATGTCGTAACTATTTTGTGTCCTAAATATTCTCGTGTAAGTCGATGTATATAAGCTGATACCTGATTTTAAAACCAAATTTGCATTAATGATATACTCCGTCTATAGGTCGAACCCAGATTTTTCAGTTAAATCACAGTCAGCCTAAAACAATGAAACATGAGAATTTTAAGAAACATACTCTATTGCGATTTAAATCGGTCATTTCGGATAGAAATCTTGTAGAACAGCTGTAGATTTTGTATCTGAAGCTCAGAATCGCTTTTCGCTCTTTTCATCGCACTAACCTCTTGTAGAGATCTGCCCACAGATTTTGCTTTTAAGATTTAGTTTTAAAATCTCAAATGATACATGGCTTGTTATGGAAGTTAACATAAATGTTCATGCTTTTTACCTTTGAACAAGAATACATATGATTTGTTAATTTTTGCTCAGATGCTTAATTCTTCATCCTTATAGTAGCCTCGTCTAACCGCAAGATAGTGTAGTGATTATCATCACCACCACATACATACATACATACATACATACATACATACAGACCATACGACAAGCATTCATTGGCTAATCTCCTCAAAACTAGCTCGCTGATTGGTCAATTCTGACCACTCAAATCGCCTGCACGCGAGGAATAGTTTTCCCGCGCACAAGCTTCGGAGCCTGTCATGTGATACACCACCTTATATGGACAAAACACGAGCAAGCCTTCTCTCTCCGTTTTCTCTTTCGTCTCCTTCCTTTTCTGCCAAAATGTGACCTTCAAGAACTCTCGTCTTGACCTTGCGGTCAGACGTTAAAGAACATTACCAACTTTCACGTAAGTACGAACTCTTAACTCTTCTGAACTCTACCAACTTTTCCGACTCACATTTCCTAACATGCATCAGGAACTTTATTCTTCTAAAACTACAGTTTAATAATTAATTCAACTTCGTGAGCTCCGGTACAAATATTTCCCAAATCTAAGAGACGTAACTCTATCAAACCTTTAGCTTATATGCATGTACATCAAAACAAATAAATTCAAATGTTATGTTTTGAACCATTACGTTCTGTCTTGTATTTTTGCCATCTTCTATTTTACGTTAAATATAAATTGCATGTGACCGCCACATTTGCTTGTCCTTTTCCACGTCATTCCTAATCAAAGTTAAATAAATGTGGTGGGGTGCGCTATATGTGATTGACAATCCTTCACATTTTTATTGCTGACCCGTCGTCTGTTTAGCCCCTCGCCAACATGATTGGTGACCCTGTCGTCCGTTTCTTACCTCGCCACAATAGTCTCAGTTTTTCTACATTTAAAAAGTGTTCCTAAAATGAAATAGTTTCTCAAGTGTGTGTAGTTCAACAGTGATAGAGATTCAGTTTCAATTGCTAGTCACTAGATTTTTTTCATTTATTTATTTTATTTGACAAACGTGATAAACTAACATCAAGGAACAAATATTGAGAAGGTAAGATTTTCTCTATCTGAACACCTAATGAATAAAAGATTTGTCTAATAAGGTCCCCGTAGCTTGCTAAGAAGAAACTCATTCAAAACGTTTTTAACGTTCTTCAACCTGGTGGACGACGTGGACGCATTATTAAATATTAGCTAAAAATTAAAGAAACTGTAAACTTGAAATTGTTTTTTATTTTTTAAACATATTTTTAACGTTGATTTATTTACTTTTTCATCTCTGAGTTCCAAGTCGCACAAATTGAGATTCTAATTTTTGTACCATTTCTAAATTCAGTTTTTACTTTAGCACTTGTATTTTTTAAAGCGTTGTAAGAAGAATCAGATTTTATCTCTGTGGAATTGGTTCTGTTCATTACCTGAAATTTAGTTAGGCATTTGCAGATTAAAAAACAAGGACAGTATCGAGTCTTTTAATAACAAGTTTTAATAACTGTTACGAAAAGGAATATTTCATAACTATGGCGAAATCAAAAAGGATGTTCACTTCCTCTGGAAATAAAGCAAATTAATTTCGTTTTGGGTTTTTATAGAATATGCCATTCATTCTAAAATAACATACAAGGAACAGCTAAAGTCTTCCATAAAAATGGAAATACTTGCAATGTTGGTTTTTAATCAACGTACACTGGTAAGTCAAGCGATGCGTGAGAAATATGGCGTTCATTAAATGGTCACCTGCTTACTATATTGCTATTTAAACTGCTGGATACTGAGGTGACTGACCGTTGATAAGAAGGGCATCTTACCAAAGTCAACTGTGAAGGTATGAATCACACTGCATGAGTATTACATGCTGGCCGCAAACATAAAATATGCTAACCGAATAACATGTATATATGGAAGAATTAATTATCTCCCTTCAGATACCTATTGGCTGCTGTTTTTATCATCGCTCATCTATCTAGCTAGCTAGCTATGTCACATCTATCTATCTATCTATCTATCTATCTATCTATCTATCTATCTATCTATCTATCTATTATATATATATAGCTAGCTAGCTAGCTAGATAGATAGATAGATAGATGTGACATAAAAGGTGATTGTAAATTCAAACAAGCTTCCAGATAATACACATGTGATTAACAATCCTATATTGATGATTTAACAACATGATATTCGTATTTATATTGCTTCTTTTACACACGCGCGCGTGCATGTAAAACGAAAATAAACATGATGTCGACAGTAAAACATATAAGATCTTTCATAAAATTGTAATGTTTGACTTGAAATTATGTCCAAGTATATTTTTCGTTACTTCTCAAATTTCAAAAAGCCAACTGACATAATGAAATTTTCTTACGCTTCTTTCCTTCGTTTGGCTGTTTGTTGTTTTTTGTTTTTGTTTTTCTAAGTGAGGCTCAGTAAATAATAAATATTCATATTATTTCGAGACTCAGTTGAACAAACTTCAATGAAGGAACAGAAAAGTATTTGAAGACGAAAGAACTTTTCGAAAAAGCAATATTAAAAAAATAACTTTTCTTTATGAAATGATTTTACTATTTAGTGTTTCCGATTATTATTTTTTTTAATTCCTTTTTGATTTTGTTGCAAGTAGTGACGGCGTCAAGCGTGGAGGGGAGAAGGTTTCATCAAAACTGGGAAGAACCCGCCCCAAATCTTTACTTTTAAAAAAGATGTATGTTAAAAGATTAGGTTTTTCGTGGAGTAAATAATTATTTCAAAATTTAAATCCCACTTAAATAATAAAAGATATTATCCATGAGACAAAAGAATAAAAGCGGATGCAAAACAAAATGGATATCAGATCTCAAAATATTTTGACACAAGATTTGAAACTTTATTTGGCACGGACTTTCTTTTTCCTGTTTCGTATTACAAGAAAGACAAAGTTTTTATTAAATCTTGTCCATCAATCAATTTCAAAGAAATTATCTCACTCACACAGAGAGAGGTGGGGTGAGAGAGGGACAGTGACAGCGAGAGAGGGTGAGAGAGTGAGAAAGAATGAGAGAGAGGATGAAAAACAGTAAAGCATGCTAGAAAGAACGCAAGAACAGAGAGAAAAAACAGAAAAAGAGTATGAAAAATAAGAGGGAGAAAGTGAAATATTTATGGATTGAGTGGACATCATTAATCAGCTATAGATACGCATTAATGAATTTAAAACCGAATGTCATTTTACAGAAAAATTCATTTTGTGTTACAAGTGCGCGCACTCCAAAATAAAAGAATAAGCTCATAATTCTCATCTGCCGAAGAAGAAGTGAAGGATTGACTTTGAGGAATTACGCACATATCCGAATTCTGCGATTGGCACCTGATAGTGAAGCAGTTGGTTCGCCGCTCTGGAAGTAAACTGCTTTCTCCCAAAAACGTCAGTTAAAATAGTCATTTCTTTTTATAACGCTGTTTTGAGTTACATCGCTACAACCCTTTTTTATTTATTTCAAGACTTATTTAATACAACAATTGTTCAGTAATTCAAAAGTCTTAGAATATAATTTTACTAAAACAAGGAAGGGTGTATTGTATTATATTTAGTGACTGTCATAAAATTTTACAATGTTAATTTTTTCTAATTAACATTGTAAAATTATGTAGTTGATCATATAGTTTTATTGAGCTGAGAATTGCCGTTATTAATATTACGCTATTAAACTTACTAGAAGTAATATAATTTTTGCTGTTATTAACATAATATTTCGGCAGATGAAGTATCCGGCCTTTCTCAGGTGTCTTCTACATTTTATAATTTTTAAAAGTTGTCTCTCTCTCACTCTCTACATATTTTCCGACCCCAAAGAAAATTGTATCTGCACGTACACACACAAAGAAGTAAATTAAGAAATCCTAAAATATATGGATAATACTTTATAATGATTCTTTTAAGGTGTTCATAAATTCGCGAAAATATTCTTTATTTTTATTATTCCACACGAGAGTCTTCATAGTTTTCTTGTATTTTTTTTATTGGCATTTCCACTCAGGAAATATTAACCGATTTTATGAAATAGACAAACAAGTTTCTTGTTTGAGCGACCAGCGAAAGTTTTTGGCAAATAACCACGTGTTGTAATCGTCCTTCACTATGTCGAAAGTATTCGAAACTGAACAATGCTATATAGAGTCAGCAGGATGACCACAAAGCCAATAACGAAAATTAACATCTAGCTTAGCAGACTAACTGGTTCCGCAAACGTTTGTTAAATTACAAAACGATAATTGCTAAGTTGTAGAGAG